ATAAACCATTTAGGGAGATGAGCTGTGTAAAAATTTGATAAATAAGGGTGTGTGGATGGATGGATGGATGGATGGATAGATAGATAGACGGACGGACGGACGGACAGACAGACACAGTAGGTAGAGCACACAGAAGGCTAAATGTCTGAACTACATAGGTTAGTTGGTGTGCCTTGAGAGTCAAATAATTGGGGAATTTACACAAAGTTGCATTCAACCCACAATCCCTTTTTTCTTCCATCTTGATTTTCAGACTGACTTTCAAAGGTCAAATGCTCTTACATTACCCTAGGATCTGCATTCATAAAATACCAACTTCATTCTTTTCTTAAACTGATTATCTTATCTATCCAGCACTACAACATTACTCCTGAGGTATTAAATGCATGTTTAGGAAAGAGAAATAATGCAAGGATAATCTTTAAAAAATAAATAACGAGGAACAGTTTCCAAATACCAAGTCATGACATAAATCTATTTGGAGTTCAGAATGGCAGGGAAACAAAAATCTGAAATCACTATTTCATACCAGATTAAAACAGATGGAGCTTCCTTTAATAAAGCTGTGGGCAGATCTTCAGATGTTAACTGTGAACTGAATTATGTCATAAAGGCAGGGCTTCCTAGCCCAGAATCCTTAAAATATGATCAATTTCATTTCTAATTAGTCTAGCCAGCATGGCCAAGCCAGACAGGACTGATTTAAGGAGCTGGCCTGATATATCTGAAGCCCCGTTGCCATTGTCTCTGAGAACTGGTGGCTTCTCAATATGGATATATAGTATTTTGCTTTTTTGGAATCTAGCCATTAGGAGTAGTTCTCTCTTCTGTTTAATAGTTTCAAGGTTCAACATAGTGCTGCAATTAAAGAATGAGATTACATGACGTAGGCTGGTGGTAATATCTTAGACAGGCTTTAAAAATGATCCTATATCTATTTTTCACCTACCTTAATAAAATGTTTGACTGGACATGATTACCAGTACTATTATTCAGGTACGCACCATAAGTAATTTTTTCAAGGTAGTTTTTCATGATTCTCATACCTTACAAAGCCTAGCTGTAAATTGATAGACGCAGAAAGTTAAAGGCTGTTCTGCATAACTGTAGCAAAAGCATGTTTCTATGATATTGAGATATATGAGTAAAAATTTCTTAAAACCTCTAATGCTGAGTGAAGTTTTGAAGACAGCCAAAAAATGAAAATTGATAGAAATGTCTAGATACCTGTGCACAGCAGCTATTTATAATGCTACAGATATATTTTTTTTTAATAAGTCTTTTAAAAATGATCCCCTCAAATGTTCTAACCACAGCTGATTGTAAAACTATTCCCTTCTAGGAGCAAAATTAGGTGATTCCTTGAGAGCAAAATATAAATGAGCACATTTGCATAATTTGGAATATCCCAGTTTATGACAATTGTTTCTAGGTCTAATTTCAGTAGAAAAGGTAGTCCTCTATTTATAGGAACTGGAAAATTCATCATTAAGCGGTGAGGTCAATAGTGAGACATCATCTCATTTACTATGAGACATCGTAACTTCAAACAGTTGCTAAACAAATGGCTGTAAGTTGAGGATTTCCTGTATATGATTCATCTTAATACTTACTTTTGGGGTTCACTTAAGGGGAACTGATTGCTTTAATTAAGGCTACCATATCTGGGCTGCAAAAATAAATTACTAGATGGCAGCAAAACTTGGAGATTTTTTAAAAATCTCTTTGATGCCCTCTTATGGTCATTTGGATGATTGTGGCCCATGGCCCAGATATAGTAGCCTTACTTTCATCTACCTAGAGATCAACTGTTGAGGGACAGGAAGGCTATCCAGTGGCCCTTAAAAGATGGATTTTCAGAGTGAATGAACAGTGTAACATGAAACTAGGAAAGCTGAAGATGTGCTGTTAATTGGTGTTATTTCCAGATACAGTGCTGTTTGTATTACTAATAATGGATATTCAGTTACAAGATGGAGCAAACTACAAATAGGTTGAATATCTGTTGAAACAGAAGAAAGGCCTTGCTAAATTATCCCCAAGGCTATCTCTTCACATTCTTTTTCCACAGCAGCCAATCAGATACTGAAGAAAAGCTTGGTAGAGCACCAAGCTTCTCTTCAAGCTCCCCTACTCATGTTCTCCAAGCAAGTCCTTACAGTTTACAAGATAATAGTATAGCAATAGCAATTAGACTTATATACCACTCCATAGTGCTTTACAGCAGGGCTCCCCAACTCTGGGCTGTGGCCCATTCGGAACCGGGGCGCACCAGCAGTGGATGAGTGCGTGTGCAGAGAATAAATTGTTCAGCAACCAAAGGGAAGGCTTCCTCCTCTCCCATCCTACATGTGGATTTGGTGTGTACCATGGTCTGTCTTGAGTCTGGTTCATGTTTTCATGCATGATTACATTTATGTGGCTCAGCATTCTCCCTGCTATAATTCCTTATTGCTAATACCTTACCACCATACCTCTTCAGGAATAGGGACAGCTGATAGCTGTCAGCTTACACCATATTTCTTTTCTCTATCCCTAAATAGGGAGTCACTTCTCCAGAGTTCTGGTACCTATTGGCATCACAATTTTCACTGGATTATTCAACACTAATTTATGAATTTATTGGTAGGGGGATAGCAAGGAGAAACTAGGAATTGTGAGACAAATACATTGCTCTTAAGATTTAAGGGAAAAGGTTCTTACTATTTTGAAAGGGTTGAAGGAGAAATAGCATGGAAATCTGGAGAGGATGCTATATTATAAAGCTTAGAGTATCCAAAACATTCTAAAGATTAGGGTGAGATTAACTTTTCTAAAAAGCCATTCTGCTTTCACAGTCGAGCTACTTTAGGTCTTTGGTGATCATAGTCTTCATATAATAAGTGATAGAAAAATCACAGCCAAATGAAATCATGTAAATCTTTAATAAAAGTGACTAATATTATCAGCCCAAATCAATCAAGTGTGGATGAAGCGTCTTCATTGAAGGGTATGGACCATAATCTATCAGGTTAGTCCAGGATCCTTCTGCTCCTAATACAGCAAATTAGCCACTACACCACAGCAGTCCTTATTAATGTTATATGTTCTTTGATTTGTGCTTTATTGAAAAAAATATAAGAATCTTCTTTTTAAAAATTGTTGAACTTCTGACTGTGCAGGCACCCACATTCTCTTTTTTTTTAATCTCTGCCCAAAAATCACATTGTACCAGAAGATTCAGTTGCATATAAGGAGGGGTAGATCATCCACAGGCCAAATGTGGTTCCTGAAGTGGGCAGAACTAAAATGTCCAGCCTATATTTTGTGGAGGGGAGCAGGAAATGAAATTTAACAGGCAAAATGGACTATTTAAGGATCTCACTGGGTGACACTCTTATGTCGCAGGCTATTCCCATCATGGCCCTTGGAAAATGGTTTTAAAAATATGTCTTGCAAGTGGCCCATACTGCTGCATAACAAGAACCATAATTATTTTTGGATGGCTGATTTGCACAGCAGCCCCAGAACATGGGGATGGGAATTTTTTTTTTTAATTGTAGATAGTTATTTTACCTTAGGTCTAAAATAAAACCTTTTAAGTGTATTAAAAGTCTGCCTTAAATTTTTATTCTGGAAAAAAATATGTCTCCTGGCATGTGGAATACAGAAAAAATGATGGTTTAGAGTAAAGTCCCTAAAAGATTATATTGCAGTTTTTATTTCTCTGGATTTTTTCTCAAGTACAAATGCTTATTCATGATCGTCTTGCATCACTGTATTCCAGGTTCACTTCAAAGTTGCTAAAATAAACTGCTGGAGTGAAAGCAGTGTAAAGCTTGGATGTTGTAAGGCTTCTGTGGTTTTGTAGCTGATTCATAACATCTGTTTTAAAATGGAGCCCAATTACGTTCTTCAAGTTGTCCATGAGAAGGAAACTAAGCAAGAAGGTTTACAGAAATCATTATCAGGCTAAAGCACTGAGATATGATAATATGTTTAGGATATTTTTAAAACAAATCTCCTAGATTTATCCTAATTCTCAGCCAAATTTTCATCACTGTAAGACATACAACTGAATTTCTAATAAATTTTTTTTACAGAGGATTCCCAATAACCTCTAATAGTTGCGAGAATATATATTTGTGACTAGATAGATTCCAAGAAGAATGTAACACATAGTAAATTAACATATTGTATTTCTTATTGTCTTTTAAAAATATACCATAAATATTACTGTGGAATTTCTGAAATTGTTAGACATGAAATAGTGGGTGAACATCTTTTTTGTTTCTCTCTCTCTCTCTTCTGTTGCTATTATTGCTGTGTCTTTATTTTCAGAATTACCAAACTGTTACTCTTCAGTTGAGCATACCTCTCATCGTTCTTAATGGCATCAATTTAGGGAAAACCTGTCTTAGGTTCCCTCATTATCCAAGGTGGTGGCATCTTAATCAAGTTGGTACCACCGTTGAATAGGGTGAATAGAATATTTGATGAATCTTTTGTCCTGCCAATGAAGCAGATGGTAGCATATGGCAAGAGGTAGAGACGATTTTCTAGCAGATTCCCTAGCTGCAATGTTGGGTCCCTCAGGACACCATGTTGTACATATGCACACCATATAGCACATTGCTGATTTCTTTCGAGATATACCAAGGCCCAAAAATTCTCACAGCAGGATATATTGGCAAGGAAACATTGTATTATTTTAGTACATTACTGGGTAGCGTGTGTAATATTTTGAATCTTCCAATCAGTGTATAGATATAAAATCAAACACTAGAAGTATGGCTTCCATTCCTTTGTTTTAAATATTCAATTTCTGATTACATACTTGCTCCATAAGTCATTCCAAAGAAAGAATTTACACTTCTTTATTCAGGCTTGTCCTATCTGGTCCAGAATATATTTTGTTCACATGGAGGAGGAGTATGTTGTAGTATTACACTTATTTGTTGTAATATTCCAATATCCTAATGAACTAAACCTCAGACCTAGTTTTCTTTTTGTCTCTACAGCCATGGCAGCCATCAGGAAGAAGCTGGTGATTGTGGGAGATGGTGCCTGTGGGAAGACATGCCTATTGATTGTTTTTAGCAAGGACCAATTCCCAGAAGTCTATGTACCAACAGTCTTTGAAAACTATATTGCTGATATTGAAGTAGATGGGAAACAGGTAACTCATCATCTTTAATACTGTAGTAGAAACAGCTTCTAAGTCAGTGGTTCTCAACCTTCCTAATGCCGCGACCCATTAATACAGTTCCTCATGTTGTGGTGACCCCCAACCAGGGCTGGGTTCTAAAATTTTTTACTATCCCATTTTTTAGAACCCATTTACTTTTTTAGAACCCATTTACTATGGGTTCTAAATTTTTTTACTATCGGTTCTGTGGGCGTGGCTTATTTTGTGGGCATGGCTAGCTGGTCATGTGACCGGATGGCCATGGCTATGTGTATAGGGACTACTCAGAGGGCTGAAAAAAGTCATTTCTGACAGATCCTCGCACTTTTGACTGTTCCTCATACTTATGACCATCCTCACATTTATGCCCGTGCAGCATTCTTAACAACCATGTCACTCATTTCACAACTGCTTCTCTTCACCATGGTGATAAGATAGGGCAAAAAATGTAAAATGTGAGGACAGTCGTAAATTTGAGGACTGGTCAAAAGTGCGAGGACCAGTCAAAAATAACTTTTTCAGCCCTCTGAGTAGTCCATGTGCACAAAAGGACCACCCAGAGGGCTGAAAAAAGTGATTTCTGACAGGTCCTCGCACTCTTGACCGGTCTTCGCACTTATGACTGGTCATCATGCCCATTGTAGCATTCTTAACAACCGTATCACTCATTTCACAACTGCTTCTCTTCACCATGGTGACAAGATAGGGCAAAAACGTAAAATGTGAGGACAGTCGTAAGTTCGAGGACTGGTCAAAAGTGCGAGGACCAGTCAAAAATAACTTTTTCAGCCTTCTGAGTAGTAATTAACCTATGTTGAAGCTGAAAGGGGCTGTTTTTTTCTATTTTTGCAGGCACCGGTCTTCTCATTTGTTTTCTTTTAACACTGATCAGCTGTAGGGCGACCCTTTGAAGCCCTGCGGCAAGAATTTAAACGGTTTGTTTCCCTCTAGCCATCAGCTGGGACTCAGCAATAGATTGGGAGTGGGCGGGGTAAGCGACCGGCGACCGGCGACTGGCGATCCAACAGAAACAGAGGGTGAGGGTGAGTGAAGACATGGGGGGGGGCGAGAGAGGGCTTTGGTGACCCCTGTGAAATGGCCATTCGACCCCCAAAGGGGTCGCGACCCCCAGGTTGAGAACCGCGTTCTAAGTAATATCTGTTTTCCTCTCTTAATGCCACTAGTTCAGGGGTTGGAAATCTTAAACACTCAAAGAGCGTTTGGACCCGTTTCCCAAAGAAAACACCGGGAGCCACAAAACCCTTCCTGTGCCTGACTATTTCCTGAGTAGCCACAAAACTAACATATGTAGTTGAATTAAACGTTCTGTTTTCTTCTGAAACTTAACTTTTCTTGGATTTATCCATGGTTGGCCTACCAGGGTCAAAAAGCTCAATAAATCGCATGCCAGCAGGTGTCGCACATTGGCAGTTGTGACGCATATTTTGAGCGACAGAGAGCCGCAGCAGAGGGATGAAAGAGCCACATGCGGCTCCAGAGCCGCCAGTTGCTGATCCCCGCACTAGTTAATATTGTCATAGGGTTTTTCCCCCCTGTGCATCCAGTAGTATCTGATACTGATTCCCCTTAGAAATGTCAATGTCTGGTTGGTCAACCACCAATAATCAGGACTAAAATGTTTAAAACAATGTGGTGGAAGCCATTTTTCAAACATTAGGCTCTATATTTGTAGATTAAATTACATGCGTAACTCCTATCCAATAAATACGCTGAAATGATAATTCTGCATCAAAGAAGCCTACATTCCTTCTTTCTAGTTAAATATCGATCAACTTCTTTATGACCTTTATGTCCATGGGATTTTAACATCATGAATAGTACTGTCTTCTCTCTAGTTGCATATGTGCCTCAGGCTCCTTTACCACCAACCTCTGACACCAACAAAGACTTTCGGGGGAATTTGCTAACCTAATTGTAAACTGCTCAATGTCGTTTAGATAATGAGATGAGTTGTATATAAATTTGATTCAAAGATAAATTCCAGGATTCATTTGAAATATAATTAAACAGATAAGATAGACTAAGTAACTGTACATTTGCCCCAGATCCATGCCCTCATGCTCTGTTTATTTTGCTGAGTAGCTTTGAGCAATGTTTGCCTAGTTTCATAATTCACCAGCTGATGAAGGCCAATTTGATGAATATGTATTTGTTTTAAGGACTAGAGTTCAAAGAAGTAAATTAGGAGGGGTTTGATCTTCCGTCTCTACGCAACACTCCCCTTTTATGTAAAGAGTCAACCCCCCTCATCCTTATATTATAGATAAATATATAAACATTTAAAATGTACATAACTGTCCTATACTTCTGGTATGGTTGTGAGTCCAGTTGCCATCTTTCAGACGATTTCATATATCACATTTGCTCGTCAAATTAGTATAAAAACTTTGAATTTCTGAAAAGTGGAAACTTCAATAAAACTCTTCTGGTGCTTCTTATAACATTCTGCCCTGAAGAGAAGTTCTTGTATTTATTTTTGATGGTGTTTATGAACTTGGTGTTGAATGCCCTTGAGAATGATGAAGAAAAACGGTTCTGCATAATGGCCATTGTTAAGTACGGGTTTAATATATTTAATTGCTTAATACTGGTAGATATTTTGCCAGGCTGCTTAAAATTGCCAAGGGGCAAAGTAATAAATGAGGAAAGCAAAACAGTCAGATTTTTTCCCTCTTCGGTATCTGTATTTAACCACAGAGTCACAATTATGTTGATTAAAGGACTGGATTTTTTTTCCCCATTTATAGGTGGAGCTGGCCCTCTGGGATACAGCTGGGCAAGAGGATTATGATAGGCTGCGGCCTCTCTCTTATCCTGATACAGATGTTATCCTCATGTGCTTCTCCATTGATAGTCCAGATAGTTTAGGTAAGGCTATAAAATAACAGTTGAAATTATAGGTCAGGAATGGTCAACATATTGTATGTCTTCCCATGAATTGGGAAAATTATAGGTCAGGAATGGTCAACATATTGTATGTCTTCCCCTATCTGAAGTAGTTACCATGCCATCTGAAACTGCTGCTTTGATCAATAAAGCAGGAGTCAAACAATTCTCTGCTGGACAGCCTTACTGCATAGTCAACAATATTGTACTTAGTGTCACAGTCAACAACATTATATGAAATAGTATAGGTTCTCCTGCCTTTCTATTTCTATTTCTATTTCTATTTCTATTTCTATTTCTATTTCTATTTCTATTCTATTCTATTCTATTCTATTCTATTCTATTCTATTCTATTCTATTCTATTCTATTCTATTCTATTCTATTCCATTCCATTCCATTCCATTCCATTCCATTCCATTCCATTCCATTCTATTCTGTAATGTTTTTCAAATGTCCGAGTATTCTTCAAAGCCAAAATGGTGTCCTGGAAATAGTATTGTGTGTAGTATGTAATTGATGTCACTGAGTTGTAAAGGTAAATAAGGAAAGATTGTAAACATGTATTGCTTTGGAAAGTGCTAAAAAGTTATGATAAACTTCTATTGGAAGTGATGAAGCTTTGCAGAGTTCTTGCTAAGCGTATGAAGTTCAATAATCTCTTCTGAAATTTGGATGGGAAGAGTATTAATGCTTTTGACTTTGGGGTTGAAAAAAAGACTGTGGGGCAACCAATATTGGACAAATAGATCACTGAACGTATCAACAGAGTTTTTGCAAACAGCCAGGCTCAAATTATCCTACTTTAGACACATTGTGCAAAACCTAACTCTCTGGAAAAAGTTCTAATACTGGGAAGGAAAAAGGATGAGCAACCAGCAAGATGGATAGACTAAGATTTAATGGCAATGAGTGCATTCAGAAAGACCAGGTTAGAGACAGATCTTCATGGAGAAGATCTACGTGATCACTAAGGGTGGACATCAAGACAACTTGTTGGCACATAGGTCAGTCAGGTAATCCATCAATTCATTTCCCATCACTGGTTGCTGTTTGTGGAATAGGCCTGCTTTTTCAGGTGAATGAGTTCATCACTTTAGAAAAAACACGTCAACTATTCTGTTCTGAAATCATATCAGATTTTTCTCAGACATATTTGGTTACTTTTATAATATTTCTTATCACAGAAATCACAAACAAAATCTTAACTCTAATTGTTTTTCAATCTTTGTGAGTGTCACAAGAATACCTTAACATGACAAAAAGCTGAATTTTAGGGGCAAATTTTAAGACTGCTGTAATAGCCTACACACATGGATACTGCCTAAGAGAATGCAGACTGGCAGAGGTTCAGGACGTCTCTTCAAAGTCTGTTCTAGACAAAGGAATCCTTTAGGGATCGAATCTATTTTGCTGGATGGAGAATGAATAGCTTCCTCCATTCAAGATTAGCCATTTTGGATGGTTACTTGGATATGTTTTCATTATGACACCATTAATAGTTTTTCAGTATATAAGGACAGAAAGGACTCAACAGTTGCCTTCAGGAGAAAGATGAGGGGAAATGAATGTTGGCAGTATTGCAGAGAGGGAAAATTCAAGGATGAAGGGATATGTACTTTTTTTCTGCACAGAAAGCCTTTGTGACATTTTAAGATTTTCTGTAGCTCTATGTACTTCATCTCTCTATGCTACTACAATTTCTGACTGTGGTTCTGGGGTTTAGATGGGAAACTTCCAACACACTTCTCAGTCACTTCTTCCCCTGTCTTTTACTGGTCTAAAGAGTACAAAGTTCCCTTACATCTGTAGTGGGGTGAGGTGGATGAAGCAGACTGACACTTGTTTACCAGCCAAGATTCTGGAAACAAGACTCTTATTGTATTCAGTCTCACCAAAATGGATCTTTTCCCTTATATTGATGTGGGGATTACACTTATGAATCTGTTCTACTGGGGATTTGCTCAGTGAGCGGGTTCTCCCATCTCTTTGCTTCTTCCAGAGAACATACCAGAAAAATGGACACCTGAAGTGAAACATTTTTGCCCAAATGTGCCCATCATCCTTGTAGGAAACAAGAAGGATTTGCGGAATGATGAACACACACGCAGGGAGTTGGCAAAGATGAAACAGGTGACCAAATTAATGTTACCTCATCAAACCGTCATTTGGGATTATGGCTGATTAAAGAAGCTGTTGATTTTGCATTTCCAATTCTAAACAGTTGAGCTTCCTTTGAAGAATGAAATTTGAGTACAAATTGATGCTCCTCTTTAACCACCCCAGTGAAGTTTTTAATTTAGTTCTGGTTTGCTTTCTCAGGACACTTAGGCAAGAAGCTGAATCTTTTTTTAAAAAAAAAGAGCTTGAAAATTGAATTAAGAAATATTTCTTTATTATTTGTACATCTCTGAATTACATTTTATAGTTTGCTTTAATTGGTTGCTTTTGATCATAACAACCCAATTAGCATGAAAAAACAGGATATAAATTAATAAATCCACAAGCTTTTCCAGTAGTCTCTTTACCTTTTTTCAACTCTAGCATTTTTTTCTCCAACAAGCATGGATGAGAAATTATTCTGGAAGCACTGGCAACTACTATTCCTATTCTACTCTGGGTGCAAAACATGCTATTAACTCAGTTTATATTTCCAAAGCGGCTTGGACTTGGCTCATGATGATCCGGTTATTTTTCAGCAATGTCTTTAGAAAGGGAATCAAAGGAAATTTGTCTTCTATATATGCCCAAATCCTCCCCACAGCGTCACAAAGACATTAATGTCAAGTGTACTTTTTTATTTGATGAGTGTTCCCTTCACCCCAATAGCCTGCGGCAGGTAAGAACCCAATTTAGTCCTGCACTAAGGATTTATGCCAGTGTTTCCTACACATCAGTGTTACATATTGGGCCTTTGTCAGAATGATGGCCTCAATCCCAAAGTTGCACAGCCCTATACCCGTTTTTTAAAAAATCAGCAGATGTCTCAGGGCTGTCTTGGGTTTACGCTTCTTCTGTCATACAAGCAAGGTGCACAATGATACTCTGAAAATATAAATTATTAAGTTATGTAATGTGTATGCTTCAGGTTGCATCTACAAAGGAGGGACACCTGGCAGGGTTCAGGATGGGACCCCTTTCTGTTATTGTGCCCGCCCTTTAGAACATCATCCCTCTAGAGATCCTATTGGCTCCAACTCTGTTGGCTTTTTGTAATGTCTTAAAGGCTTGGTTTTATCATTGGGTCTGGAAGTCAGAAAGTGGGGCTGAGCCTATCTATACATTGGTTATGTTAATTGTGACTGATGAATCAATTTTTACTTCTGCTATTGTTCAGTGGCTAGTTTCCTTGCTTTTATTTTTATAAAAGCAATATGGACAGTCATATTAAATTGAAATAAATAGATTACAGCTTGCCAAAAGTTTTTAACAACTTGCTGTGGTCATCGGAAATGCTTTCTGCTATATTGTCTGAGGCTAAGCAAAACAAACAATTAAGAGGAAGTACCATATTTTTCAGAATATAAGACGCACCTTAGTTTTTGGGAAGGAAAATAAGAAAAAAGCTGATTGGCAGGTGGATCTGCCTACTGGAATACCCCCAATCAGCTATTCCCAGAGGTGAATTTTAGCAACAAGTTCCTTGGTTGGGAGCTCTGTGCCTTGCTTTTTTTTTTTGCTTTTTTTCCTGCCTTTGAAACTTCTGAAATTCTGTTTCAGAAAAAACTTTCTTTTCTTGCATCTGAAAGCCTCTGAAACAGAGCTTCAGAAAAAACGCCTCTGAAGCTGTTTGGGGGCTTCTTTTCTGAAGCTTCGTTTCTGATGCTTTTTTCAGCCTCTGAAACCTCCGTTTGAGAAGCTGGGTGGGGCTACATTCAGAGTATAAAATGCACCCAGATTTTCACCGTCTTTTGTGGGGGGAAAAGCTGCGTCTTATACTCCAAAAAATAAGTACTGGAATTACCTTGGATTTTTCTATTATTATATCAGGCAGTGCTAAATAATAATCAAACTGTTTTGTCATCATTTTTACGAAGGAGCCTGTGAAGCCGGAAGATGGCAGAGACATGGCAAACAGAATCAATGCTTTTGGCTACCTTGAATGCTCCGCCAAGACAAAGGACGGAGTGCGGGAAGTGTTTGAAATGGCTACCCGGGCTGCCCTGCAAGTCAGAAAGAACAAAAGGCGCAAAGGTTGCCCGCTCTTGTAGAGAGTGTGTTGGCAAAAGTTGTGACTGTGCTGTCTGAAGGATGCACCTTTTCCACGGATTGCATGGAAGCAAGCATGGCGTCTCGATAGATGGAAGAGTACAAATTTAATGATAGTTGGCTAACTTCAGCCTCCATTCTTCTGCACAGAAAAGGCCACCCAGGGTACTCCACAGCAGTGGACTGTAGGTCTTTCCTTGGGCAGCGTGTCTATACCATAATTTTGTATGCTTGGGAAGTCAAGAGAAATCATTTGAATCCTTTTTGTAATGATTTGGGTATAGGGCTGACAGTTTATATGACTTAATTCTATACTTCTTGCTCTTTTATACTAATTCTATAATTTGGTGCTTGTATGGATTTTCACAGATTTATGTTTTCACAAATAACAGAAGGTAGACATTTGGAAATCTGCAACATATGAAGCTGGACTACAAGCTAATGTATTTGCCAGTCTCCCTCCATAACCTGAAAGGCAAGAGGCTATCAGAAGGTTCATACGAATGTCTGGGAGGAATCGGCCTCTATTGTGATTAGTGTTCTCTATTGCACTTCTGTCTGAGGGACATAGCCTTGTGTTTTGACAATACTATATTCTCAGTTCCTTATTAAATTAATTTGATTTTATGTGATTTGCCTTTTTTCTTTGTCCTTGAAGTCCTGCCAGCTGGATTAAGGTTGGGCAGAGTTGGCTTTCCCATCTGCTATAGAATAGCAAGTGGTGAAAAGGAAGGTCATTGTCGCTGTAAATACTGAGAAGAATAACCTTTGAATAACGTGTTTTGACTTTCAAGAAATGCACTGAAGGGACTAGATAGTGTTTTCATCTGGTGATCATCTGAACTGTATTTTTCACTAAGGTTAGATAAATGTGCATTTCCTTTTTTTGCTTTGGGGGGGGGAGATTTTTAAACACCACAAAACAACAGAAAGAAAAATGTAATTGAAAGTGAACCTGAACAGAATGAAACATTCAGCATAAAGTTTACGGCTGGACATTCCATCTGGACCTTTTTAAACATAGATTCTAGGTTTTTTTCCCCAAAGTGGAATGAAGAAAATGAAGATGGAGTGTTCGTATTTCATTGAGTAAATGTAATGTCAATTTTAATAATCACTCCAAAAACCTCAGAAATTCCATGAGAATGAAATGCATCTGACCAGCCAATGGCTATAGCAACAGATTGGTGTGTCAAAAAGATATGCTTTTCTTAGGAACTGGTGTGTTTTAAACACCACAGCATCTGCCCAAGTAGTGGATATATTATGATGTCTTTGTAAGCACAGCTGCACCAGGAACAGAGTAAGACACCAGCATTCTTCATCTTCTGTTTACCTCATAAGATGGCAAAGAGCCAAACATTACTGTTGCAGTTGGCGCATGGTGCCAGCTGCTCCCTAATCATGCAGATCTCTGAGGATCTACTGAATAACCATCACCAGTGGTACAATGCACAGGACCATCTTTTAAACATACAGGAATATCAAATGACCTAATGTAATGGAGGATATTCTTGTTCCTTTGAGACAATATGACTGCAGACGATTAGTGCTTTTCTATTGACTAATCTAGGGGTAAAAATTATGTGCTTCTGAACTAAACCAAGTCTTGTGCTTAAATAATTCTCTACCTAGTGCTGTTCCCAAGGCTGAAAAAAAGTCGCATCACTGTATAACATAAGAATGAAAGAAATTGAGTCAGAAGTCAAGGCATCTTTCCAATGAAAAGTAAATTCCATCACTATCTAAAACGGGGGATCTCCAGACATGGCCTCCCAGAATTCTACTGGCTGAGGAATTCTGGGAGTTGAAGTCCGCAAGTCTTAAAGTTGCCAAATTTGGAGACCCCCCCCCCTAAGAAGTCAGAAAGATTTATTTCTCAATCCCATCCAGAACCACATGGGGGGAGGTTAATCTAAATTCTTCACATCTGTGTAATGCCAGGCAGGGGGAGGAAACAGAAAATGTTATAACTGATACAGAATCATGATGCATATAATTAAATTTTAATGTTATAAATTTAATAAATTTAGTACAAAAACCGATTAGATAAAATCTTAAGTCTTGAAACTAACAAGGTTTTGGTAATTTTCTCCTTTCCCTCATCCTATCCTCTCCCCAAAAATCTTCATAATCTCTACTAATCTCTACAATATCTCTTGATACCGAAATGTAATCACTGTTTGAAATATCAAAAATATTTCAATTACTATTCCTCAGACCTACCCTACATGTGACCATATGCACTTGTTCTCAGCATTACAAATGTGCAGGCACTCATGAAAGAATACACGATTAATTTGGTCACGATTGGTAACCGCACATGAATTTCTACTTCATTATTAATTTTTTTAAGCAGAGTTTTGAGAACCCTGATATTTACTCCTGAGAAATAGCAGGTATGAAGATCAAATAAAATTTGGCTACTTGTCTGGTCCATCAATCCTGCAGAAATGTTCAAGAAGGCAGTGTTCACCAGGATCACATTTAAGACAGCACTAGTTTCAATGTTCATATCTCCATTGTGGCTCCACTTGCTGCTGGATGTAACTGTCTTGTAAGCCGTTATCTGCAGAGAAGATAACTAGGTGAAGAGGCAAGTAGGCAGATAGAAAGGAGAAGGAAATCTATTTGCTATCCTTGCATTAACCAAGCAGCCTTTCTGAACATTTAAAGGGGTACGCTTAACTCTTCTTCTCCAAGATGCATAAAGCTTCAGTGTAGAAAAGTTAAAGACTGCAAGTGAATTGGATTTTGGCTGGAAATCAATTTTCAGTCTATGTAATGCTTATAAAAAAACACCATCCCTTAAACCAGGGGTCTCCAACCATGGCAACTTTAAGACTTGTGGACTTCAACTCCCAGAGTTCCTCAGCCAGCTTTGCTGGGAACTCTGGGAGTTGAAGCCCACAAGTCAAGTTGCTAAGGTTGGAAACTCCTGCCTTAAACAATGACACTCCAATTCCCCATCCCTCTAAAACACTTGAGGCAAGTCACGAGAGTTTCCTCTTCCTGCCTGCTGAACATGGAATGCTGAGACCCAACGAAATCTAATCAAGTCACGCCAAACTATGAGTCATCAATGCTATCACCAGCCAACAGGGAAGTTGAAAAATCATCATTTAGCCAGTGTTCTGGCTTCCGAGCAAAGATAACTCTAGGGCTAACAAAAATATTCCCTCCCCTACACCACACAGTACGGGCACAACTGCCAACTCTAATCTCTAATTGGTCCCCATCCTCCCATTTTGCAAGCCAAAAAGTTGGTATGACGTTTCCAGAGTTCATTCTTCCTGAGATTAAAACCACAAAAATTCTTGCTTCAGGCATACTGGACACCTCAAAGGAGACTGATTATAATTATTGTACAACTGAGGAATTAGAACATTGACTTGTGATCTAATATTGTTGCAATCTGGCCTGTATTTAAGAGGACTGTTAAATGCTTATTTCATGGGCAGAATATTTCCTAATTCTTGCTTTTGGCTTCCTTCAATTTAAGGTTGTAAGGCTTAGCCCCATTTTTTCTTAATTTGTGAGCTGACTCTCCCTTCTCATCCCCCAAGTCCACTGCTCTGAAAATGAAAGAATTAAATTGGCTCTCTTCCAAACATTCAAAGAATGACTAACAATTAAAGGTTGCTTTCAACACTGCAGCCATTTCCTTACCTGCTGGCTGATCATTTATGTTGAGAGAAGATAGCTCTGCTGTTAGCAACTCATCCTCTACTCTACTGTGTTTATATCCTTTCCAAGCTTTGTTGACTCTGCAGTATTCAAGAAACCTGTGAACATAGTTGAATTATTAATGCAATTAAAGCAGATCAGAATTTGGAATGGGAAAACAGGATACGTTTGGAAATAAACAACTCACGCTCTTGCGAACCACTTACAGAAGTGGCAGTCCCAAAGGTGCCCCCTCAGGAGGCAACTGGACTTTCCTATTTTTTCTTTGAAGAATCTTTAAAAACAGGAAAGTCCAGTTGCCTCCTGAGGGGGACACCTTTGGGAAGGCCATGGCCTGGATGGCTGAGAGTCTCTGGAGACTTTTGGCTACACAATTTGGGATGAACACCCTTTCAACAGTGTGGGAGTAGGAATGGATTTCGCAGGGGGAGGGGAATTGCAGACTACAGGAACCAGGATAAACCTCCAAGTGCTTCAATGACCCTCTAAAAGGATGCAAATGACCAGCTGTCTGCAAGGAATATAAATCCTTCCATTCCCCACTATCCTGTCAGAGCTGAAGAAGCTTCTTGGATGAGAATCAAAATGTCTTCCAAGAAAAAATAAAGTCCAGTTGCCTCCTGAAAAAGCACCTTTGAGACAACCATGACCTGGATAACAGAATCTCTTCAGATTTACAGAAATGGCAGGGTCACTGAGGCAGTCACAAATCAATTAATGAGATTCCAAATTGCAAATAAGCCTCTCAATACAGGCTTTATGAGACTTCTCAAGCTGAAGACTGTAGGAATAGATAATACTGGGCTATGTAGCACCTTCATGTCAGAGAAGTATAAAATCTAGAATAAAGATCGATTCCTTCTTTTCATGTAGAACCAGATACTGTAACTTAGCCATGCTTTACCTGGAAATGTCAAAAGAATATCTAGTGCTGCTTATTCAGTTGTATCTCTGATTCACCGCAGAAGGAAAAATAATTTTACTAGCTGGGCAAAGACATTAGGATTAAGGAAGCCAACACTTACTCATTCCAGTATGGATCCTTGCTTAGTGTAATTGGGTTGCCTACAATGATCAAGAGTGCCTTAGCTCTTGTAAGGGACACATTCAGGCGCTGAAAATGAAAAGGAGGAGTGATAAAAAAAGAGAAAAAGTTAACAACTTAGATCACTGGTAAAGAATTCTACATACTCCCGACATTCAAGTATGAGATACAGATTTCATAATTGACACTTAAAGATGATAAAAAGCTTCCTTAACTTCCATCTCCTAACTGAATCTTCTGGATATTCTAAGAAATAGCCTTTATCTAACATAAAACTACTACAAACGGGGATTTCATTCCCAAATTGGTGGTTTGCTTTTTCTTGGTTCAGTGGTTAAGAAGCTGAACTAAGCATGGAGAAAACAGTGTTTTAGTCCCACTTTTGGCACAAAGCAAACAGGGTGACTATACGCCAGTTTAACGACTGTTCAGCAACCAAATAGTGAAGTTACAGTAGTGCTGAACAAAGGGACTTATGACCTAGTCACCATGCCTGGAATGTCTTGTCCCGTTACAGAGCTGAACAGTGCATATAAATTGATCCACCTACCTTTGTGTTTTCCTGCAGCTGCTGACTGGCACACCTAGCCAATGTGAGATATGTTTTTCCTACAGAGGACACTTCATGCCATTCTGCAAGTAAGGGCCATTTATGTCATTCAGCGTGCAGAATTTGGGGAAAAAGCCTTCTGAACTATCATGACAATGGTGCCCACTTGTAGAATGGTGCAAGGCGGCCTCTTTAGGAAGGGTGCCTGTTAGCAGCCACAGAAAAACACAAAGGTGTAACTGAAACAATTTACATGCACTGCTGGGTCTGGTGACCAGTCAAGGCACGCCAGGCATGGTGAGGTGTGGGGAAGGCCTGGGCCTCCCTATCTGCAGCAGGTTTCCA